GTGTGATTGAAATATTTAATGAAAATTATTACAGGAGGAGCATTAATATTAATCAGTCTCAAAATACTCCCACTCAATTCAAACTAACTTATTGCACCGTTCTTGCCACTTTCTGAAGCAGTTCTGGTAGTACTATTTCGTGAGTGTCTTTACCAGGTGTGATTAAAAATACTATGTATGCTGCTGCTAAGTGCCCCCTGTCAGAAAGACAAGCTCACAGAGGCATTGTAGTATGTTCTCATCACATCAAATCCCTGGGAATGTGTCTCACAGTGTTGGTGCCAAATACTTAGGCTCACTATGTGTAAATTCAGGGTTCTTTCTTGCAAATAGAATCCTTTAGAATATGTATTTGGTGATCTAGTCGAAGCTCATTTAAATGCTTCCATCTTTACATTAGTAGATACACATACACACACACAACACATTATTTTTGGAAAAAGAAAAATAATCCCATATTCCTTTGCCTTCTCTACCCATTTGAAGCTCATTTTGCCTCCCAGAGCCACTTGCTTTTTCAGCTTAGGCTGCCATACAAAATGCCATGATTGGGCATCTGAAGTGATAAAGATCGATTTCCCCACAGTTCTGGAAACCGGAAGTCCGGAAGCCGGAAGCCCTAAGCTTAGGTCTGATTTGGTCACTATTAAGAATGTCTTTTCGATTGTAAACAGCTACCATACTTTTGTGTGCTCAAATGACCCCTGCTTTGTAAGGACAAAGAGCATGAGCGGATGAGGAGGAGAGAACAATGTGTTTCTCCTTACAAGGGCACCGACACCATCATGAAAGCCCAGCCTCATCCTCCCATCTTATCCATTTTCTTCTCAAAAATTTTTTCTCCAAATATCATCACAGTAGAGCTTCAGGGTTCAATACACGAAGTGGGCCTGAGTGGTGCAATTCAGTCCTAGTGGATCCATGATTCCCTAATAAATATTAAAATTATGTTCTTCCTTCAAGAAAAAAATCAAGCAATGTAGTCAATTGGCCAGTTAATAAAGGAAATTAAGTAATAATAACAATACTCTATAAAAGAAAACACATACTTCATTAGCATTTCAGAGAGTAATCCAAAGAGAGTGCATTTTGTCTTAAAATACCTGGGAATAAATTCCTGGGAAACACATATTCACTTATCTGAAAACATATCTTAAAAGTTTTCACAAGATAATTTTTATCTTTCATCAATAAATTCAAATCCCTCCACAAAGCAACACAGTGTGAATCTATGAGTGACAAATGGAAACATTCCAAAAGTGAGAGCAGGAGAGCAACACTGTTATGTCAGAGTCCAAGTTCTAGATCCCTGGCTGATGAAAAACAGCAGTGGTAATTGACTGCCAGCCTGCCTTGGGAATAGGCTGTAATTTTCGTAATCATCTTACTGTGTCACGTTCTTGAGTCAAATCCTTGGGGACAGAGTCACTAACAAAACCCTGCTATTTCTTGTTGCCCAAACCCACTAGCAGAAGAGATAGCAACACCCTCTTCACAAGTGAGTTCTAAGAGCATTTTTCAAAATCGGGGTGAAAGTAAGCATTTTTTGTTTGACATGGAACAGAATAATCTTTAGCATAAAACATTTTCTGTGGTATTTTCTGTAACAAAGCTAAATAAGGTTTTCTTTAATTTTCTTTCAGTTATGTGTGTGTGTGTATATATATATATGTGTGTGTGTGTGTGTGTGTGTGTGTGTGTTACTATATAAAGAGTTGAAAAATATTTGAGAGTTTCCAGAGAAAAATCTGTCAAACACCTAGGAAAACTTAAACACTTAATTGACTGGATAGAAAAAAATCTATGACAAGACTGCCCTCATTTTCGCCAAAGGTAGGTGTTGTATAAAATGCATATCTAAACATAGTCTTTGTTATACCATTGGATGTATTTGATATAAGAGCAGGAGTTATAAACAACGGTCATAACTTATTGCAAAAATTCGTCGTGAATTTTCCATTATCAAATATTGGGAAGGTTCTGCACCATGCAATATGTGAAAAAGTCGTGATTTCTGTGTGTGCAGTATTCAGGGGGACTGCCACATATGTGATATGATATCTACATGAGTTACACAGGAAATAGTTCACATAGCACACAGGTGAAAGGCAATAACATGCCATAGGAGTTAAGAATCAGAAAGGCCAGCAGGATAAACAAGAGTTTTCCTTCCAACTCTCTGTTTGCCTTGCACCTGGTACAGATGAATGTAAGGAAACACATATCAAAGCAGGAAACCAGCTGGGTACATAGCTCAGTGTCAGAGGGTGTACCTAGCATTGTCAGACCCTCTGTTCCATCCCCAGTGTTCACTGAATGAACAGAGTGTTCAGAGAGACAGAGAGATGATAGAGGGTAGATAGATAGATAGATAGATAGATAGATAGATAGATGGATGGATAATAGGTAGATAAATAATGGATAGGTACATAGATGAGTGATAGATGATAGATAGATGATTGATTGGTTGATAGATGATAGGTGAAATATATAGATAAATATATATATAGATAGATGATAGACAATAGGTAGTAGATGGTAGATGTGTAGATAGATGAATGATAGATGATAGATAATAGATAGATGATAGATAGATAGATAGATAGATAGATAGATAGATAGATAGATTGATGATAGAGGGAAAGCATGCAAACACATCCTGAAATATTGAAAAACCATACCCTAATTAGCTTATTCCTGGCTGGTTGTGGCAGAGAAGGAGGGATATGGCTGGACTTTGAATGTAAAATGCAGTGGCTGATACTGTAAGTGATTATAATCTGAAATATATTTTCAAAAGTAACGCATAATGGAGCTTCCAAACAGTGCAACTTTCTCCGTTATCTCCAGACTTGGAAACCAAAATTTCGATGAAATAGTCGTTCAGCACAGCTTTGTGCCATGAAAGATTGTCCCGATCCATGGTGCAGTGCACACGCAGTGGTGTTCTGTCACAACACCACCTGGTGACGGGCACCTTCGGCTGTGCAAGCTCACTCTCTGGAGATGTTTGCACTGCATTGCGTGGTGATGCCTGCTTTCTCTGAATTTATCCTGATTATGTAGTCTTCTTGACTGTATTTCCAAATAAGACCCACATATTTCTGGGAACTGCAACTAGATTTCTTAAAAGCCTGGCAATCTACGTATCTCCTGTAATGATAAGCAACAGCACTGACCAATATTTTCCTCCATAGAAAATGTAGACACATACAAACATACATACTCAAAAATTTACTTTGATACCCTATTCATGGTCTAAGAACATGACTTTTCCTGATGTACTTTTTCTTGTGCTTCATGATACAATAAACTATATCATTAATGTGATAGGTTTGCTTTCTGTTAACTTATCCTTAGCTGGGATTATGTTTGAAGAGCTAAAATTTGATAACAGTCTCTTAAGTCTTCAATTTAAAGGACATTTTGCTATAGAACTTGTATCTATCTGCCTTAGTTAAATAGTCTGTGCTTTTTTATTGCTGAATTTTGAAGTTCAACTGCTGGAGGTATTTAACCTTCCAGCTAAGCCCATTAGTATCACCAACTCTACTGTGAATGAATTTTAAAAGTGATTACATTTACTCCTGTGTACATCTACCCCTTAAAATATCAGTTGAGAAAGATTTGCATGGTTTAGGAGAATGAAGAACAAACTAAATTTTTGATGTACTAAAGTTTATGTAAGTAGTGCATGACAGAAATAAATTCATTTCAGATCACCCCATTCTAAATACACGGTTCAGGTTTCTATAACCTGGGTGCTTAAATAGCAATCAGATATTTAGTCATCTTTTAGTAGGTATCTACCATCAGAAAAGTTATTGTTTATCATGAAACTGCTAACTATACTGGAAATTCCACAGTATGTACTTTCTCATAGATGTAATTGATGGAATGAAGATACAGTTCAATGAAAGGGGCTTGTACAGCAAACGCGAGGCCCTGGGATCAGTTCCCAGCAAAAAGAAGAGAAGAAAGAAGGAAGGGAGAGAGGTGAAAGGGGAGGGAGGAAAGAGAAAAGGAAAGGAAGAGAGAGGGAGGGAAGGAAGGAAACTAGATATAATGACAGGTACCAAGCCAAATGGCTTGGTGCTGTGCCGCTGAGCTATATCTCCAGCCCTTTACACTGCATTTTTAAGTAAGATTTTTAAAAAGAAAATAGTTCACTTTTTTTCTGCCTTTTTGAGACAGGATTGCACTCTGCAGTTCAGGCTGCCGTTTGAGCTCACTTTATAGCCAAGGCTCACCTCCAATTCGCAAGGATCCTCCTGCCTCAACCTCCCAAGTGCTGGGATTACAGGGGTGCACCACCCAAGTTCAAATTCTAGCTGTCCCCAATTACTTCAGGTGTTTCACCTTTCTGAGACTTCTCCTCATTTGTAAAATGGGTAGAAGATATGCAGTAAACAAATACCCACAGAGCATATGAATATGCCTTATAGAATCTTAGCCATTTTCAGGGTCTGCAATATAAGACAATTAGAAAGATGTTCAGAAAGCCACCATGACCTTGTGTGCTAAGCAGTGCATGCAGAGTACAATTATAGAGCACTGTACATGTGTGTGTATCGGCATTTCTGCAGTGAGTATAATGCTCAGGTATACCAGAGGGACATTTCAGTAAAGTAGGTTTACTTTCATTTACCTTAGTAATGTCAACATTTTCAGTAAAGCTAGAGCTTTAAGTATTTGGAAGATCAATGTTAAATTTAAAAAACTGCACAGAGCTTTTGAAAACAAAGCAAGTCAGTCTGGACCAAGTCCTACCCTACAAGTCTTAGTTTTATAAATTCAGTTCAGGAGGAGAAGAGTGTGTTTTCCACCAAATACCTCCTTTGACCTTCATCACACACCAAGGGTACTAAAAATAGTTAATAATAATAATAAGCTACCACTTTCATAATAATAAAATTGCTTTTCAAGCTAGTAAGGTAAAAAAGTATGGAAATGTTAAACCTGATTAGACCCTCCTCCGTACCTAGATGTCTTGACGTCATATGGCTCAGACAAATTGCACCCAGGCGACAGAGTTTATACTTGCCGGCCTCACGGACCGCCAGGAGTTGAAGATGCCCCTCTTCCTGGCATTCTTATCCATCTATATTTTCACGGTGGTGGGCAACCTGGGTTTGATCCTGGTCATCAGGACTGACGCGAGACTCAACACCCCGATGTACTTCTTCCTGAGTAACCTGGCTTTTGTTGATTTCTGCTATTCCTCTGTCATCACGCCCAAAATGCTGGGGAACTTCCTGTACCAACAGAATGTTATATCCTTTCTTGCCTGCGCCGCTCAGCTGGGCTGCTTCCTGGCCTTCATGACGGCTGAGTGCTTGCTCCTGGCTTCCATGGCCTACGACAGATACGTGGCCATTTGCAACCCTCTGCTCTACATGGTTGTCATGTCCCCAGCCATCTGCATGCAACTCGTTGCTGCCCCCTACAGCTATAGCTTCCTGGTTGCTTTATTCCACGCCGTCCTGACCTTCCGCCTCTGCTATTGCCGCTCCAATGTCATCAATCACTTCTACTGCGATGACATGCCTCTGCTCAGGCTCACGTGCTCCGACACTCGCTCCAAGCAGCTGTGGATATTTGCCTGTGCTGGCATCATGTTCCTTTCCTCCCTTCTGATTGTCTCTGTCTCCTACATGTTCATCATCTCTGCCATCCTGAGGATGCGCTCAGCTGAGGGAAGGCGCAAAGCCTTCTCCACCTGTGGCTCCCACATGCTGGCAGTGACCATCTTCTACGGGACACTGATCTTCATGTACCTGCAGCCCAGCTCCACCCACTCCCTGGACACAGACAAGATGGCGTCTGTCTTCTACACAGTGATCATCCCCATGCTGAACCCCCTGATCTACAGCCTCCGGAACAAGGAAGTGAAAGAGGCTCTGAAGAGAGCAGTCAGCAGTAGCAAGAAGGCTCCCTTGCTCATGAAATTTCAAAAATGACTTCAATAAACAATGGACATTTTGTTTTCCTATTGTTATCACTAAAATCCTGTCTGAAAGCCCCATATAAAATGTCTTTTATTGTATCATGTATAATGAACTTTCTCAAATTGTCACATAGAATGTCATTTTGGATATAAAAATAATTACAAAATTTTATACTCCTCTCATTTTTCAGTTGGAACATGTATGAAAATAATTATCTAGCCCATAAGTATTTACAGCAGTTTTTCCACTTCTGAAGTTGAAACGCATTTAATATAGTTATCAAGATATACAAAGATATATGGGCAGAGTGGAAATAAAAGGTCAGACTTTCTTAGTCCCCAAGACTAAATTCCAGATGCAAGGGATCCATGAATAATATACCAGGCAAAAAAAATTGCATACTCTAAATATTTTCCACATTCTTTAATTTTTTAAAAAATGTATAACAAATGGAAACCTGCTACTGACATATTTAACAGATTTTCTGTGTTGAACAGACCTCCTCCATGTCATTAATCAAGCATAACCTTCTGCTGACCTCAAGTCTCTTCAGGGATATAAATTCTTACATTTTACTCTTTATGAAATTGCAACACAATTTTCCAGATTATCTTTTCATAATAAGTAACTCAGAGGTAGACTCCCTAGGTGCGGAGAGAGTCATACTCTAAATACATGCACTCACAATAATTAAAATAACATTTTGCCATTCTCAAGGATTATAGGCCGTTGTTGTAGGCAAATTATGCTTGGGTGAATGGGTCATTATTTATTACGTTGTAGATTACAACACATTGTCTAGTAGGTGATGTAGGTAGGTGAAAATTGAGTATACATTGAAGTCAAACACACTCATATTCTCTCCCGTTTTTCCTTAAACAGAAACTACCAGCAATAATTGTCAGCCTGAACTAAATGTACTCCTAGGCAAATCAGAAATTCAGAGCTTAATTAGTATTTGTCTAACTAACAAATTATGAGGTTCAAATGTAGACTAGGATGGTTACTGTAACACAGATCATTCTTTGGTAAGCTTGCAAAGCTCAGTAGCAAGTTAATATACCTCGATCAAATACATGCCATGACTTCTTACTAAAATTTAAAATGTAATAATCTATATGAATATATAAAAATAAAATAAAACCAGCTAAAATGTTTGTGTTTTACATAGGTAAAACAATATCATTATTACTTATAGATTCTGTAATACAATTGCAAGCCACTCTGCCATTCAAGTGATTATTTATTTGATTAAGCAAATTGGGTCCCAAAGATCAACCACAACATAATTGCTATGTTTGTGAAACTTCAGTATATATTTGGCTCAAAAATTGTTTTACATGATGTAATCCAAGAAAAGTATTCTAGAGGGACAAAGAAATCATACAAAACAACCTCACAATATTTAAGTAATTTTCAGTGCTGTTGATACCGGCAGATTTTGCCTGAAGAAATGCTGGACCATTTGTGTTCAAGCTGTGGATTTCTCAAAAGCAGTATTTACTGGGCACAAAAAAACAGGGTAAGTGAAGTACCACTGAAGAGATTGGAGGAACACACTTTTGGATTATTTTATTCAATAATTTAAATATTATTTGGAATGTCTATTAATTTCTGAGTCCCGCAATTTATAGATATTTATTTTATGGATGATATTGCAAGGAACGAGAGTAGCGCACAAGGAAACATTTATTTATCAAAGTTAAAATAACAAATGTAAAACCCAGGACTCGATTCCAAGTTTAACAGGCAGCAACCAAAGATGATTTGTGTGTTAGGAAGCAGATACAAAGCGCCACATACACAGAGGAGGTGGCGAAACTGAAGCAACTAGAAAGCCATAATTCAGAGCTGGGGTTTCGGGCCTGAACAGATAAAATACAGGAAGTGTTAAAAGGAGACATATTTAAGGAAATGCTTAAATAATGAATAATGTTTTATAATTGTTTATAGGAAGTTAGAAGAATATATGAAATATATTTCTTTCACTTTCCCACTTGTAAGTTCCGATGGAAGATGTCACCATTCGGGGAGAGTATATTGACTCTGAGAAGTATGAGTTACGTAAAATGGTTTCACATTGATGAATTATCTCTGCATATGCAAATTATGGATACTTCAGGAATATCTAATTGAAGTGACCTAGTAAGCAAGTAGATATGTTTGCCTGGGATTCAGAGGAGATATCTGGAAAGTTGAAAGTATTCTGAATAGATTTTCAAGGCAGAGTGATGTTCCAGTTTAGTAGGAGAATGAAACTATTGAAGTCTTTGGAGAGTTTGGCAATATGTATAACAGCAAAATGTGCACAGGTTTCCCAGAATATCATTGTATGTACTAAACTTATAGGACAGTAAGAATTAGAGATCTTAAATTAGGCAAGCAATGGGGGGCTATTTTAAAGTACTACAAAAATTATTAAACTCCTGCAGCTATTATTACGATGAGATTACACACAGGCTTCTGTAGAAGAAGACTTGATCAAAATAAAATAGACTATGAAGAGCTAAATTTGAAGAATATGGTACCAAGTATGACATATTTTAACCACCCGGAAAGAATAAACTAGAGTGCTTTTCCAAAGTTGTCTGAACATCCAGCTAGTAATGAAATGTCTGCCTGACTGAAAAAGATACCATTTGCACAAACTATAAATTTAGTTTACAGACTCAAGAACTACTAGTTATTCTATTTACAATACTTATTTAGGGAAACATGAATAGAGATTAATCTCTGTGTCTCAGGCTCTGTATCTCAGAATTAAAATTGTAGCCATACTGGAGATATATAGACTTCCTAGATTGAAAAAAATCAAACCATCACTTCCGGTCAAGAGAAAAACTTTTAAAAAAACAAATAAAATAAAATAAAATAAAATAGCATATCTCTAAAATCTGCCCTGTTTTAATTAGTAAGAACCCAGTTTGTATGCAAAGTACTGCTGGATGTTTTCTACTCTAACTTCACATTTAGATATCTGTAGATACAAAGCAAATATGCTTTATAATTATTTAATGTGTTTTTAATACTGCTCTGTATAGCTAAAAACACCCAGGCTAACTATATTATAGTTTTTGCTATTTATTTCATAAAGACTCATAAGAATTACAGAAAAACTTGGAATTTTATATGTAAAAGAAGTAAATAACAGTTAAAAACTGAAAATATAGTAAAGAGACTTCCTATCCAAAATTTTATGTAGAATTTTTGTATAATCTAGAATGAGTTTAAAAAAAAATTCTTACCAATGCTAATGAAAAACAGCCAAAGGATAGCTTAATTTTGTTTAAAGCATTCCAATCTTGACAAGTGTTTTATCCGATGATAAAAATCTCAAATATTTTTCTCCTTTAAGATGTAGATATGAGATAGTTTAATTATGAAAATGTTAAAATACCAATTCACATCTTCAAAAAATTCAACAGAATTGCAAGTTTGAGAATTTTTGTCTAGAAAAACAAATTCATTCATCAGACAAAACAGGAGGAAATTGCTTTGAATATCTTCAACATAGACCAGCCAAGAAGATTTGTACCTTGACCCCCAACTGATTATCACCTAAAGGAAGATTATTACCTGGAAGGTGTGGACTGAAGGGTTTTATTGTAAAAAAAAAAAAAAAATCCTTTCCAATCTCTTCTATGGCTACAAGCAATCACTCAACACAGTCTGGATTTATCCTCCTGGGGCTCACAGACAACCCAGAACTTCAAGTCATTCTCTTCGGGGTGTTCCTGGTTATCTATCTAGTCAGTGTCACCAGTAATCTTGGATTGATCGCGCTAATCCAAATCAGTCCGCAGCTGCACACACCCATGTACTTTTTCCTAAGCCATCTGGCTTTTACTGACTTTTGTTTTACCTCTGCTGTCACCCCAAACACACTGGTGAACTTTCTGAGGGTGGTTAAAAGAATCACATTTTTTGCATGTGCCGTTCAGGTGTGCTGCTTCATCACATTCGCAGTGTGTGAACTGTACTTGCTCTCCATCATGGCCTACGACCGCTACGTCGCCATCTGCAACCCGCTGCTTTATGTCATTCTCATGCCTAGGAAACTGTGTGTTCAAATGATCACTGGCATGTACATTTACGGGTTCGCTGTGGGCCTTGGACAGACAGTGGCCACATTCCGCTTGTCTTTTTGTGGCTCCAACGTGGTCAACCACTTCTACTGTGATGATGTTCCCCTAATTGCTCTGGCCTGCTCCGACACTCACTTCAAAGAGCTCATGTTGTTCATCATCGCAGGCTTCAATACCCTTTTCTCTCTAGTGGTTGTGGTCATTTCTTATGCCTTCATCCTCGCTGCCATCCTGAGGATTCACTCTGCAGAGGGAAGACAGAAAGCGTTTTCTACCTGTGCCTCTCACCTGACCTCCATCTCAATCTTTTATGGGACAATTATTTTTATGTACCTGCAGCCTAAGTCCAGCCATTCTCTGAACACAGATAAAATTTCTTCTGTATTTTATGTGGTAGTGATTCCCATGTTCAACCCACTGATCTACAGCTTGAGGAATCAGGAGGTGAAAAGTGCCCTCAAGAAAGTTATACAGAAGTTGTACCTTCCATAGATTTGCAATGTGGAAAATGATTGCGAGTACAGGGTCCTCACTGAGTGCTCACATTCACTAGTGCTTCATTTCCAGGAATTCTTCTCAAATGTCACTTCATAAACATTAAGTTGCTGAATTTTAACAGGAGAACAGAGAGAGGGGAAAAGAGAGATTTCTCCTAATGCACTTTGTGTTTTGTATTAGTATACGTGTTCTGCACCTATGACTATAAGGTGAGGAGCTGGTACATACACGAATGGCATGTTAGTCCTTTATATTTCCCTCCCTCTCTCCCTTTGTGTCTCTGTCTCTCCTCCAACTTTTCATCATTAAGTGAATAGGTGTGAAATAGAAGTCTTGTCTGAGTACTGTAGGTTATTCAGAAATTTGAGTTATATTGAAATGAATGAAAATCTGATTTTTTATGTTCCAGATTTGCTGCATAAATTAATC